TTAGTGTTTTTCATGGCTGCAGCAGGCAGAGCCCCCAGCAGTGCGCACCTCTGGCTGAGTCCTAGGACCTGCACATGCTGGCATGGAGCTTGCCTGGCTTGCTGGTGCACGCTTTCACACCAGCCTGGTCTGGCTCCATGCCAGGGCATGGGGCTCACAGCACTGCAAGCAGAAACTGCATGCCACTGGGCCAGATGGGCTCTGTGCCTCCATGAATGGCTTCCCCCTGGAAGCCCCAAGTGGAGCACAGAGCAGGCTGGCCCAGCCTGATGGTGCGTGGACCAGGAGCTGTGCACCATGGGGCCAGGCAGGCTCTGTGCCTCCGCATGGGACTTCTAGCACTCCAGTGGGTAGCTGCTCATGGAGGCAAGCAGGAGCCCGCCTGGCCCATGACTCCATGCCTCTATGTGCAGCTTCCCGCCTGGCCGGATGGCACATGGCTCTGGGTCTACATGCCATTGGGCCGGGCTGGCCTTCTGTGTGGGGCTTCCCACAGACACCTCTCTGCTCCCTCAGCCCCACCCATACACCCCTGCCCTGCCCCCCACCTGCCCTGCTGGCTCTTCCCACAGCCCCTAACCTCCGCAGCCCCGGTAGTTACCCGCACCTTCCCCGCAGGGCCCCCCAGCCCTGATCTGCAGTCCCCTAGGCTTCCTGGAGGGGGTCCCCAGTTGGCCCCCAGGCCCCTGTATATCTCACCTCAAAGGCTACAGGGAAAGTGAGCCTGAACCAAGCCCTGGCTGACAGAGTCTCAGGCCCCACCCTTTCCCCTCTTCCTCCTCTTTGGGACAGGGCTCAGGGTTTGCCACCCTTTTTGCAAGAAGCTCTTGCAGGCTTGAACTCTGTCAGCCTGCAGAAAGCTCTTTGCAAAAGTGGAAAATCCGTGGGTATCTCTGTTAAAATGAACAATCTGTTTTTTTCTGTTAAAATGGAAAATTCACATTTTTTTCTGGTTTTTCCATGGGAAACAGAAAACATGGATCCCTGATTATAATGGAGGAGGAGATTTAGGTAGCACAAAAGTTCAAAGAAAATGTTGTCAACTGACTAAATAGACTGGAATAACAGGCCAAATGGAGACAATTTAATTCATGACCTTGGTGACATGGAAGATCAATACTTTTATACCTTTTAGTGTTATTGATCCTTTTAATGCATAGGAGTTATGATTTCTTTGGCACCAGCAGCCCTGGAGAGCTTGGACTGAATTCAGCATGGATCTCAAAAGGGAGGTGAAGGTTACACATTAAGACAACTTCTGATCTCATCACATCATATAAAACCAGTCATTTATGTGATGATACTGCTGATACTGCTGTTACCCCACATTTACACTGGTTTAAATAAGCTCAGGATTTGGCTCATTGGGTCATGTTTCCCACTGATGATGCCACTGCTGAATTCAGTGGGTCTCTAGATTGAGGGCTGCAAGATAGGCAGAAAAAATGGTAGTAAATGAAAAGTACTAACTTGGCATTACATACATACAAAACAAATATAATGTAAACAGCCTAAGATTCTCGGGGAGATCATACTGAGTTCCAGGTAGAAGCAAGTGTTACTTTTGTTTAAAACAAAAATACCTATGTCCACTTACACCACAGACTTTGGCTCCAGAAGTGATAGGGACAGAGTAGCAGAGGTTACATTAGGTACGTTAGGGACAGAACTGCTTTATACCATCCTGGTAACTGCTTTTCCTGCTCCAGTCCCTCAACATGCAAGTTACACTTGTTTTGTACCCACCAAATAGCATTTGAAGTTATGCTATTCTGTCACATGCAACTGACCTGAATTTATACTGCTCGTCGCCTTGCCCCTAAATTTGGCCCAGAGTTTTTAACCTATTTTCTTCAGAATTTGGTCCTGCAGTTGTATCTGAGTATGGCAAAGTGGACTTGACTAGACCATCCCTACCATATAATTTAGCTTGATGTAAAATCAAGCAGCTAAGATGGATCCCCCATATTTCATGGTAGTAGATGCAGTAGTATTTATTACTAGTTTTTGTGTCTCTGTCATGTACTAGATGTTGTGTAAAGACCCAAGAAGGACTGATTCTTGCCCAGACAAGTTTATACTCTCAAAAGTTAGGGATGAAGGAAAAGGGAAGAACTGAGTGAAACAGCTCAGTGTAAAGTGCCCAAGTTTAGGCGTAGGGAGCAGTGGGGATGAAGGTATGGAGATGTTTGCTGGATGAATGAATCAACACCCTCCAGGCTGGCACTGCTGGCAGAACAGACTGGATGGGGAGAGGAGGCAGTAATCAACTGAATCTTTCCAAGTTGTTTTATATGAAGTACTTCAAGTGGGCCTGCTTGTACTCACCTTTCAACATTTTCACTGCTACTTTCTGGAAAGAGCCATCCTGCAGCTTCAGTAGTGCTTCTCTTACTGAGCCAAACTCCCCTGTGGATTAGTGACAGCAGACAGTCAGGGAACATGTCTAATGCAGACGGTGTGACTCACACCAAGCTTTCTCTCTGGGTCATGAAGGGAGGAGCGCAAAGTCTATGAAAAGTGTAGCTATCAGCCGCATTTTTTGGCCTTCCCTGTCAGCACCAGTGGATATATGTGTGTGGGAGGCAAAGGCAACATGGCCTTTGGAGGAACAAAATAAGGAGGAACAAAATCAGACTGGAGATATGGTAGGCAGGACACAGTGAAAGCAGTTTCAACAGGCAGTCCTCTGCTGACCTACTGGCTGAGGATATGCTGAGCTGGAGTGGAGGTTGCAGCTGGGAGATGACAGGAACATTTCTGGGGAAAAAGTACTGTGAGGGTCTCAGCTAGGGTCAGAGACGGGACTTACAATTGCAGAGTTAGGGAGATTGGTCAGTGAGGGAAACTTTTAACATGACAGCTTTCTGAAGTGACAGCTCTCAGAGATGATATTCCAGTGACCATGCCAGTGAGAGACATTCACATCAGCGCTCAGCCAACTAAACCCAGTCTCTCTAAACTCAGGGAGTGCCTTCCATCAGCTGCCACTGACTTGACAATCGCTTTAAGATTATGAGACATGAGCCACATGTGAATTACTTTTCCCCCAACACATTTCAAGAGGAGACAAAGCTCTAGTGTAGATGAAGTGTGGCTGACTGACCCCGGTTATATTCTTTTAGCTTGGAATGATTTTAAATCAAACAAAGATTTTAAAATAAGCGTTAGTATTTCTTCACCTTAGTTTTGCTCTTCCTTTGATCGGCCTGATATGGGACGATCCAGTTGCTAAATCAACCTAATTCTGTAATTGCTTATCTTGTATTTCAATGCATCTGGTTTGAGGTGCCTTGAATCAAGTCAAAGTACTGCCAACAAAGCAAGACTAGAAGAGGAACCAAGAAGCAAAGCCAGACAGATTTTGCTTCTCTGCTATGGCTACATTTGCTTCTTTCTGCTAGCTACTCTATTTACTTGCATACCACATGCAGCTTTCTTCCCAAAATTAGTCATCCAGAACTTGGGTATGTATTTTAAGTGAGGAAGTCAATTTCCATACTGGAATGGAGGCATGGGGATGCTGGAATGGTTGCGCAGGGCTGGCTGGCTCCTGGCTGCATAGAGGAGTGAAGTCACAAGCTAGAAATGTAACCCTACCACGGCTGCTGCCAAATTGGCAGCATTCACATGACAGGATTAAACCACTAGGCTGAGTGGGAACAGGAGGGTGAATGATGCTGATAAGTAGACTCTGCTCCTGTTCCATGATGACAAGATTCAGCCACAATTCTGTAAAAATCTTTTTCTCTTCATTCTGCCTTTCCAAAACAAGGTTGTAACAGGGGGCCTACTCAGGGCCGATCTCTGTGGCCCGCCCACCTGTTCTTGGGCTAACCACCCACCTTCTCACCTGCCATGCCTTGATGTTAATTGATTCATTAATTGATGTCAACTAAGCGGGCGGCTACCCATTTTGGTGCCCCGATGCCAGGGGGCGCTCTCTGCGGCTCCTTTCCTCCCCTATACCGCAGCCCAAGCCTTGCAGATGGCATCTTGATGTTCATATAATCACCGGCCCCCACGTTGCGCCCCAGAATCCTCCTAACAGGACCCCTCCATGATCCCTCCACTCAGGCGGCCTCTCCGCCTTCATTCAGGCTACCTAGCCCCCCGAACCTATATTCCCCT